TCAGAGGCATGACGAGCACTACGCTGCTACTCCTCAGCTGCTATGCGTCCCCATCAGCCGCAGATGCTCCATCACTTTCAGAAAACTACAGTTGACCATGTAGATCCGGCATTAAAACCAACAGTCGGAACGTGGATATTCGAGATTATCGCCTCCCGGCCACTCTCGCAGCATAAACCACAAGACCTGAGAACGAGAGCCAGGCCCCAGGTCAATCTTGTAGTCCACGCCTGGGGAGCTGAATAAAATTCCGGGACAGTGGTTGGGCTGGAGGATGCTCGGTTTAGAGGTTTGTATGGCCAGGCTCAGCACCTGAGTTCCCAGCCGCGCGCGCGGATGACAAACTGGGTCTCGCCCGCATCCTGCGAGCCATACATCCACAGGAAAAGAATCACCTCAAGAAACGAGTGTTCACAACTGATCTCTAGATGCCACACAGCCAACATCAGTTCAAGCTAGCGTATGTCATCGATTGATCCTCGGAGGTTTAGCGTGTAAGCGATCCCATGTAAGCAAGGGTCCGCATGAGGCATGCAAAGGGCATGCAGGAGCTGTCTGGGGTCTTCGCCGGTATCACCGTGTACTTACTGGTCACGCATGCAGCCACATTAATAGATAGTGAGGATGTGAACATCAAGAACAAGATGACAAATAAGATTACGTGTATGAAGATTAGGAACATGAAGAGGATTGTGATGGTGGATGGTAAGGCTGGAAGACTTAGGCCGCATATGGTCGCATGATACATGTGTGATCGTGCGAAGCCTTCTTGCGGACTATCGCATCGCTTTCCAAGCTGGCCAACCTCAGGGCTACTCCTACTCCTGCAAAACGGAATAACAAGCAGGCTGCAGGGCTTAGTATTGCATGTTTCCCGCACTCCGTCACCAAGCAAAGGCTTGTGCAGGGAAAGTAAACCAAAGCTCGACGGAGACAAGATCTATTTCCACATGCAAATTCTGTCTCTGCACGCAGAGCTCCAGGCATGGGACAGTCTGCAGGCTGCTCGGGGCAGGAGCTACTTCGTCGTTCCGACCCCACGTGGGCCAAGCGAAGGGGAAACTAAAAACTCCAAAACCTGCATCAACACCACTTGCAGCTGCAGGAGCAGCGGCTGTTGCGACATGTAACGACCGTGCCAGCGAAAACACACATTAATCTTCCGTTTACATCAGTCTCAAGTCTCAACATCCGCATAGCAGCCCGCAGTGGATGCATGCACATTCAATCCTACATCGTGAACCCTCAACCCTCAATCCTAAGCTCCGGATTTTCCAAACCCTTTCCGAGGCAGAAGCTGTTTCCAATCTCCCGCCAGCCAAACTTGCACCACCTGCTGGAGCTCCTTCAGCGGGGAATCTTGTTACTAACAGTCCTCGTTTTATCACTATTGGTGCCATTCTACACTCACACTACACGGATCAGGGAGGTTTCGGAGGGTCTGTTAGAGCTTTCGGAGTAAAGACTCAGAGGTACGGTATGGGAGATACTGAAGTAGTCCGGCACCCGTACATATCAAAGCAAGAGCTGCTCCTCAGCTGCTGGCTTTGGACGGTTCTCCATCACCTGGGGAGCGGGGCTCCCTTGTTTGGAGGCCCATGCAAGCTTAGCGTGGGGGGTCTAGGAGGTCTAGGAGAGTCTAGGATTTTGCGAAGACGTTCTGACAGGTAGGTGTAGTAGCTGGTTGAATCTGAACTGAACATGATGCCTGGCACAATGCATGGTATCTCCGGGAAAGCTCGTCAGAACATGTGCAAGCCTACCCTGGGACATCGCTCAACAAGCGTTGTTTTGGCATGTGGCCGAAAGCGTGGAAACATGGCTCTTCTAGCATCGGCTCTTCCCAAAGGTGCGGGTGATGAATGCTGTGGGGGATGCTTGCTTGCTTGTGGTTTTCGTTGTGCGACGCATTGGCAGTCTTGCAAAGATGGGAACTACATAACACCATTGATGCACATGCGGCATCAGCAAGCATTGGGCAGTGCAGTTTCGCATCAAAGCTTACTACAAAAGAGCTCCCGCTGTGGCTTGGCAAACGTTTGTTGAGCCCGATACAGGAACCTAAATCGCGTCAGCTGTTTCGCTGCCACAGTAGAGCCTTGCAGCCCACCCCGGCCTCCTCTGGCATGTCGTCTCCTGCCGCGGGGGGCACCCGCCGCAGGTTTCGCACCTGGAGATAAAGGGCCTACTTCTCTCATGTGCACCCGGCAGTTCACAGCAGGATGACGAAACGACGCTGGACGTAGCTGAGTTCAGAGGGTACGCGATTTCCTCGTCACATGCCACACAACCGTCCATGCAACAGAAAGCGGATGCATGGCATGTTTCGAACGCCACAACCACAGCATGAACACCGTTGATTACTTCCATGTAGTGGCGGGCTGGGTGGTGCTTGGACGTGACTCAGAATTTTTGAGCGTCTTTGCTCTCTGTCAGGGCAGCGTGTTTGAAAGAGCGTCTGAAACCGCTTTAGGCACCGTCTCTGCGAGCGTTTCCGGCTGAAAGCCTGCAGACGAATACAATATTGATTTATATAACTATATATATATATATATATATATATATATATATATAACGGTTGAAATGCACCGCGATGCCAACTGGCGTCTTGTGCGAACCCGCCATTGCACGACACGGATGGTGTGGCCGGGTTGGAGTGAAAGTCCCCAAGGCTGAACCGCAAGACGGAAGCCCCTAAAGGCTGAACGCCAAATCGGAACACGACAGTTTTCCTTGTCAACAGCGAATATCTGGGACACGGGCCTTGCCAGAAGCGAGGTTGGTCTGCGTCTGGTGGTCAGCGTCGAAGGCATACTCCTGCAGCACGACGTCTGCACTGTTTTCTGTGTCAGAGAGCCATTGCCGTTCACGTGTGACATTGGATGTTGGTGGTATGATCGTTTGCGAAGTTGCACGCATTTATGCTTCTAGCAATGCGAGCCGGCAGGTTCCATGTGCCGAGCCACACATTGCTGTGTATAGTTGAAGGTTCAGTCACGCGAAAGACATGCTCACGACTGGTGGCAAGCGACGCTTATAAAACAACAACACCATCAGGAATTATCTCTCTCACGAGCAGTAAGTTGCACTGGACGTCCCACATCACGGATTCAACAATGGAGAAATTTACAGTTTACCTGGTTTACCTCTTCATCAACCTCACTTCTCCAAGCCTCGACTGTGTCTTGTGAAAGTAAGGGAACTCCACACTTCCTCGCCTGACCCCGCCGCTGGAGGCGACCCACTCGAACTGCCGAGCGCCTTTGACTTGGGAGCTGTGTGCCCGGATATCATGTCTCTTCATCAAGGGGAACATGCCAAGGTTCAAGGCAAGTCCGCGGCTGCTACTACTCCTACAGCTGCTGCTAGACTACTGCTGCTGCTATCACTACTACTCCTCCTCCTACTCCTCCTCCTTCTCCTGCTCCTCCTACCATGCACTATACGAGCGCCAGCACCAGCACGAGCACCAGCAAAACGACTGCGACGAAGCCCGAACTACAAGCTCGCATCTACTTTGTGTCAGAAGTGCTCGCCAGATCCTAGACCGGCGGCAGAAGGCTTGTGAAAGATCAAGTGTCTGCGTCTTCATCCGTCTCACGCTTCCCCAACCAAATGCGGAAGCGCTAACCGCCTAAAATCTGAAATGTGACGACCTGACCTGCTACATGATGCCTGCGGAAGCAAATATGCCGCTCGGAAAGACAGAACTGCCACAAGCATTCAGTCAGAGAGTTTGTGAAGGACACCCTGTTTTAGCGACGGCATGGGAACCGCTCGGGTGTACCGTTGCAGCCGAAGTGCAGCAGCTTCTCGAGGAAATCTGACTCTTCATCCTCCGAGAAGGCACCATGTCAAGCAGGATTCTAAAGACCTGACATAAACATCTCGCTTGCAAGGCATGTATTTTTCCCCAACCACACGCAGGAAAGACACAACACACCAAAAGACTAAACCCGAAACCTAAGCACCTGTGTCCCACGAATATCCGTTGAATGGAATGCCTAAGCCAGCAACACCACTGCAGGAGTACCCTTTCTCCGCTCCTCCAGTCGCTCCCACTTCGATCCGAGCTTCACCTGGAAACCCACCCTAAAGTTTAGGGTCTTTCGGGGCATTAGGGTTGGCTTTGATGTATTGGCAGTTGTATTGGATCTTTGAGTCTTTGGTACGTCAGTCCGTTTTGAAGAGAATACCGTAAAATCTAAGATTAGAGTTGTCGGGTTTGTTCTTCATCAGACCTCGTGGAGCGATGCCGCCACCCAGACCCAGTGGAACGGATCTCAGGGACATTCGGCGAATGCTGGCATACTTTACTAGAGTGTTTGGTTCGTTGAGTAGGACTTGATAGGCTCAAACTGCCATACCAACACCCTCCCAAGCTTTGCCCAAGCACCCCAACCCCAGGCACACGCCTCCCAGTATACCGCAGGCATGGCCACATGGCGCCGAGGACTTCGGAAGATGCTACGCTGTGATGGTTTGGCGTGGGACTATAATTTTGACAACCACCCTGATGAGGACGGCCAGCTTCGCAAGTCAGGATGGGATAAAGAGGACACGTCGGACGCACCGTGTTCCTCTAGCTCAGCTCCACGACAGTACACTATGGTCCGTGCAACATAATTTACGACGGCAATCTAACGACATAATATGTGAACTACATAACGCCAGATAGTACAACAATATGTATCATAACTATAACTATATAGTCTAGTCCAAGAATGCTTCTGGAAGTCGACAGTTGCGCTGCAGATGCTGCTCATGGTCCAGGGTGCAACTGCGCATCAGATCTTTCGCACGAAGCTTTTGAACCAGAGGTCAGTTTTTGCTTTATCACCTCTTTTCCGTCAGAGGTCATGGGTTTAGGGTTTATGGATTTGCAACATGTATGATGGCAACAGGAGGCTGACTGCCCTCAGACCCTCAGCCATTCCTCACTCTGGCCGCACTACCACCCCGCCAAACCAACGGAATTCAGCTTTGATAGCAAGAGAGGCCTCCGCATCGAGTTCGCCCTGCCGAGAAGTCGAGAACAGCTTCCCCCTTGTTACCGTAATTACGCCGGGCCCCGTGGTCGGCATGCACCCATGTGAAGACGAGGTTTCCAATGCAGTGTCTCCCTTTCTTCCTGCTCTCCTCCCCATTGATCAAGTGTGTGCTGGACTTCTAAGGCTCAACATCCCCAGTGAGAATATCAATCTTTGCCTGCTTTCGGGAGAGTCGCCGACGGAGCCGCTCAAGATGATGCAGGGCCTGCCATGAAGAGAAAAGCTTCGCGGCAGTAATGGTGTTTAACATTGTACATGCTCCGGGTTGCCTGGTAGTTTTCCTAGTAGCGATGCTTGCATCTGCCCGAAGGGTGCTCAGGATGGATTTCTCTGAAACTGGCTCGGGCCTTCTTGTCAAAATTCCTACCACCTACCAGCCATGCTCCATCAGCCCTTGGACACAAAGCCGAAGCAAGGTAACTCCAGCTCCAAGCCGGGAAACTGCTTCAAGCCGGCGTAGACTGTCCCCATTATGCCAAGGCTTAACTTCGAACTCTGTCACCGCAGCAATGCCAGCGGAGTAAAACTGAAGCCTTGCAAATTGGAGCTTCGCTGCCTGCGTGCGCGCTCGGCCAGGACAGCCCTACATCAAATCCCGAACCCCGGAATACCCCGAGAGTGACCGCCAATGTTTCGGATGCGTCTGAAGGAGGCCTCGACGTCCTGCCCTTCGCGACCTAAGTACCAAGATAAGAGCAAGAGACTTTGAGCTTGGAGGTTTCTGAGGGCGCACAAATTGGAGGACACCCACAATCTGAAGGTTGCTTATGTTGCTTTTAAAGAACCCACGTTGATTCTGGGGTCCAGTGCATCTGTGGTCTAGGGGTGGAGCCGAAGGTGGGATTGAGACTGAATCGCCGTCCCAGCTGCTTTCCCAACCCTGATCCAAAGCACGCCGAGCCCAGGACTAGCTAGTTTAATCTTTTTGAAGCCTTTTATTCGGTGTCGTATCTTTTTCGTGGGTTTGGGAAATTCCAAACGCAATCTTCTCTCCAGCGGATCGCTCTTGGAGCACCGACATTGGCGAAGGTGAGCTTGAGCAGCTCTGCCTTTTTGGGATGCAAGTATCGCCACTGCAGCTGCTACTACTAAACTACAACTGCTACACGACGGTTGCTGCTGCTCTGCTGTTGGTGCTGCTCAGCTAATACCCTAACACTGCTGCCGCTCGCAAGGATCCACTTGAATGGTCGAGGACTTTCTCGCTTAGCTCTCAGACTACGGTTTCTGCTACATAGCAGCCCACGACCATACTGGCCACATGGCAGGTTGCGCAGAAAACGTACATCTTTAGGTCAGCAACTCTACGGCATCCAAACTCTCCACACTTCAGCCGGCCTAGGCGTGCCACAGCGCAGCGCCTCTGGAACTCAAGGCACGAGCTGTGAATCTGCTTGTGTGCAGCACGAGAGGATTCCTGCGATTGTGGGGGTGACGGGCCGGGTTTGGGCCGGCCTCTTCAGCGCACTGACTGCTGCTCGTCGCTCGGCGCAGCTTCTCTTCAAACAAGAGTTGTATGCCTGCCACGATCAGCGCATTTATGGGGGTTCGGCAGACTACAGATGGATATGTACAGTAGCCAGTGAACTGACATGAACCGATTATGTTCTGATTCTGTTGATGCGAACCCCACTGCTTGCTAACTGTTTGCAAGCTAAACTTGCTTTGGCTTGCTCTGACCCCGCATGATTCTGTGTAACAAAAACTGGCGCAGTCGCACGTCGTGAAGTGCCAGAGCCTAGATATAGGTGCCCATCTGCGACAGCCAAACCCCGCTGCCCGAGACCTTAACGGGATCCTAGTCCCAACGCCCTATATAAACCTTGTGACCCCAAATCGTGGAAGCAGAAAGCCAAAGCTGACCCCAGAAATGCGGAAGGATCCGCCTCTTGAGCCTTCCGTCGCGCTCGCAATTCCTGTTGAAGACTCAGTCTGTCGGCTGGCTTCCATTTCGGGCTATGTGTTGCAGCAGGGGAATGGAGGTTTTGGGGTATAAGGAGCTGCATCGCTGTCTTCCAGGGCTTGCAAGTTGCAGGGATTAATGTTGAGAGATTCAAGGATGGGTCGGCCAGGTGTTGTAAATCCTTGTACTGTGCGATTCAAGGTCTTGCGCCTCGTACTGCGACTGCTTCTCCTGCGCCTGGCCACCCAAACCCGCAAAAGAACCAAGACTCGAGCGTTCAGGTATCTGCAACTCCGCAGAGTGCAGACTCAATGTTTCAGCATGTACTAGTACCATCTTACCGCAGCCCTCGTCGTTTCCGTGCCGGTCTCTCTCTGTCTCTTACTTTATGTATAGACACATACATTTTGTAGGTTCTACACAATGATGTAAGATACTGAGAGTCATTTACACATGTAGTAGGTTTATGAACAGATGTATATGTACGTATACATATATACATATTCTCATCCATGCATGCATGCTTGCATACATGCATGCATACGCACAACAAAATGAGCATGTCACTCTGTCACATCAATGAACAAACCCACGGCCTTCTGTCCCCACCACTTGGAGAAGCTTTCCTCGACAGCGGCCACCGCCTGCCGAAATCCCAAGGCTCAGACTGACTGATAAGCCTGAACCATATGAGTGTAAGGAGCCCTACTACTACTGTAGATCCTAAATTATAGTAGGATCCTGTTTATACGCACGCCGGACGCCGAGGCAGCCCCAAACTTCGCTGCAATACACGGAGAACACGCAAGACTGCCCGTACTTCATGTCTGGTAGGTGGCTCGGATAAGGAACCTCCGTACTCAGCTGGCCTACAGCATGAAACCCCAAAGAGCGGTCAAGCTGCCAGCTGCGCTTGCGCAGCAGAACAAAAAATAAGAACCTCGTGTAGAAACTCGAGCCGGTAAAAGTAATTTGTGCAGCCTGTGCAGCATAGGCGGCACGTATTGCGAAAACTCGGCGACGTGAGTTTCGTTACAGGTAAAGTAGACAAGTCTCTCGAGGCCTCTGCGACAGAGGTCTTGGCACTCCGCTCCTCCTGCGATAAAGCGTCGCGAAGCGACTGGACCTGCTACATGTAGGACAGATCTCGGATCGGGCAAGAGAAAGCAGATGACTCTCTTAATGACGAGGACGATGATGATTGCGATGCTAAAGCGATGACGATAAGCATGGTGATCATCAAAAGATGATGATGAGGACAACGATGAGGATGGTCATGGTGTCGTCGGTCCTGGTGATGCTCAAGCCTGTGGTGGCGGTGGTGGTGATTGTGGTGGCGGCGGTGTTGGCGGCGGCGGTGTTTGTGGTGGTAGTGCTGGTGGCGGTGGCGGCGGAGAGAGAGAGAGAGAGAGAGAGAGAGAGAGCAGGTGGTTGTGGTGGCGGTGTTGGCGGCGCCAGGTATGGAGACAACTGCAGCACAATTTACTTACAGCTGAGTGTGCGGCTATACACACGCGCACACGCAGAGAGAGAGACAGAGAGAGAGAGAGAGAGAGAGAGAGAGAGAGAGAGAGAGAGAGAGAGAGAGAGAGAGAGCGAGAGAGCGAGAGAGAGAGAGAGAGAAAAGAGAGAGAGAGAGAGAGAGAGCGAGAAAGAGAGAGAGAGAGAGAGAAAGAGAGAGAGAGAGAGAGAGGGAGCGCGAGCGAAAGAGAGAGAGGAAGAGAGAGGAAGAGAGAGAGAGAGAGAGAGAGACAGAGAGAGACAAAGAGAGTGCGACGGGCAACCCTGGGCGTGCCTGAGCCGCAAGATCTTCGAGCTGATGCTGCTGCTGCAAGGACTCCGATGCCTGACGGGACTGGTGAGTCATGGTATTTCAGTCTGGAGCCTAGAGGTTTGGGACTTGGGACGCAGCAGAGGTGAGAGTTGTCATTTGATCCCCTTCCCCCTTCCGACACACGCATGAGTAGTTTCGACGGGATAGGTGGAAAATGGTGTAAGACGACGGAAGGATTGAAGCATCACGTAGCACTTACAAAGCAAAATATGCTTACATGTAAACATTGGCCGCCGGTCGGGCCAAGTGATGGCATGGACATGCATAGAAACATCAAGTAAGCTTGACTTGCCGCCCTAAGGCCCGACTCGTCTCGGGACTGGAAGGTAGAAGAAGGCTATCGGCCCTTGCAAGCCAATCTGTGCTCAATTGTTTTATTAAAAATTTGTCTTGGATACTCAATGCGGCATCGTTTGGCACTCCCGAGTCAAGACCTGTATGCTGACATTACAATCCTCGGGCAGTACCGGGCAGCGGAACCTCAGCACGCCGTCGCTCACTGTCAGCCGCGATTGCGGCAGCCTGCAGTGAAACCCGCCATGCTCGAGAAGGTCGTTCAGGGTTCCAGCTGAAAGCTTTGGGTGCGTGGCCTCTCAGCTTGTCGTTTTGCGCTCGCAGCTTCAATTTCTTGAGTCTGTCAACGTGTGAGCGACACTCCCAAGGCTTTTTTGGGTGGACACACACGCTACTGCCATGTACAGTGATGCCAGATTGAGCGAAATCTGCACCTGTTTAAATTAAGGAAAAAAGGCAGCTGCAGCATGCTGCTACCACGGACTCATTTACAAGTGAAGAAATGCAATCGCGAACATTGCAATTCTCAGTAGTAGGTGCCGTCATCCTTACCTGCAAATTAGATGAAACAGAGCGCGGGGCAGAAAACATAGACGTTTATTTCATACTGGGCCATTATTGTTTTAAGGAGCAAGTCCAAAAGAAACAACAAAATATGGTACTCCGCGACCCAGTTGCCCTGGGCATCGAGCAAGCCCTTCCAGTACCAGGCCTCGTAGGCCTTCTTGGCGTTCGTGTCCACGAGCACCTCGACATCGCCGGTTCCCAGCAAGCCACCCTGGCGCACCTCGAAGACCAGAAGGTTCTTCTTCTCCACGATCAGTCCGGTCAAGGGCCCGATGACAGGCGGAGAGACGCACCAGTCGAGGAGCTCACCCGTGGTCACCTTGAAGGAGGAGCCATGCAACGGGCAAACGATGACGTCACCGATCACGTCGGCACCCTCGCTCATGGGTGTGCCGATGTGGGGGCACAAGTTGCCGACACAGAACAGCGCCCCAGCCTCCGTCTTGCCGATGAGAACATCGTTTCCGGCAAGCGTCAGGGCTTTCAGCTGCTTAGGCTGCAGCTCGGAAGCCTTCACGCCCGTCTTGATCCAGGCGAGGGAGGGCAAGATCGTCTGCGTGGTGTAGCGTGCCGCGGTCTTAGAGCGCTTGCGGCTGGAGGCCAAGCCAACAGCCGCCGCCGTGCATGAGGCAACGGCGGCCATCTTCATTCCGAAGCCAGCGGCCGACTGCTGCCCTGGCAGCTGGGCCTGCATTGGCGCGGAGACGGCCTGGGCCTGCACGGCATTGCCAGTTGGTGCGAGGAACGCCAACTCCATGCTTCAGGCGGACCTTTGACACGAGTGCCTCCAAGAATCCTTGAGCCCTTCAAGCTGGAATCGCAGCTCTGAGAGTGCAGCATTTGCAAGAACATGAAATGAAGCACCAAAAACAGGAAAACTACTTGATTTCCTACACTTCTCGCAACCTTTCTACCGCTACCAGCCGCTACCACATATCACATGCGGTCCATTGCTTCGGGCTTGTGCTCTTCTGGTGGAACGGTGGACCCAGAATCATTGAGACTCCGCCAGACAGCATCCTGCATGCTCAGGATCCGAAGGATGCTGAAGCCGTTTCGGGCTCAGGCTGACGGATGTCGGATATCGGGTTCGAGATGGATAACTTATCATCAAAGACATCCTGCGGGCTTGCACGGCTTGCACGTGAATGTCCATTGAAATGCACCAGAGTTCCAGTACTGCGCTTGGTACTACCGTACTACCGTCAAGGGGACGGGACCATGGCACCCCGACGACCTTAATCAGCCATTCGAGCTACACGCATGAGCCGTCAAGCTCGCGTACCTGTCATGATCTTCATGATGAGTCTCGTCGTTAGTCGTATTTTGTTGCTACTTGACTCTTTTGACAATGTGTTGCACACACTAATGGTAATATCGATAGCAATAACAGTGACAATAATAATAGTAATTGCAGTACTGGTAACCATCATAGTACTAAGACTATAATATAACAATCATGGTCATACCAATAATGATAGTGACCCTAATACTAGTAGTAAACCAAAAAGTCAGAGCAAGAAAAACATGAAGAAGAAGAATAGTAATAATAATAATAATAATAATAATGCTGATCATCTCCAGGCCTGCTCTGCATGGAGCTTCTGCAACTCTAAGACACGCTGGCGCCAGCGCTCCTGCTCCTGTCCGCGAAGTTCTTTGACTTGGAGGCCATATGGGCCATTACAGCCTATGATCGCAGCAATGATTCTCAAGTAGATTTTTTCATGGTTTGCAAGCATCAAGCTCAGAAGGCTTCACATGACATGGTTTGTGGGTATGACTGCTATTGCGACTCAAGCCGTGATATAGTTGCTTGACATGCAACGAGGGGTGAAAATATATCCCGAGTCTGCATACATTCTGTGACGCCAGGACAAGCGATGGAACGTCTACGAAACTGATGTCGGATTGCATCGCAAATTGGGAGTTGCCGAAGCTGTGGCAGGGCACCTCAGGACAGACTATGTCGCCTCTAGGTTTTGGATTAGAGCCGCTAGGTTTTTCGTGTTATGTACAGATGGGCGGACTCAGGTTTTCCAAAAGCGATGCTCTCATATGTCCATATAGCATCTGCATACATCCGCATCACTTGCCGGAGCATGTCCTTCCTTTGTGGGGCATCTGGCCAAACTTATTGGGGAAGTTGGGCTGAAAGCTCAGTATCACAACTCCGGTACATGCCCTGAACTCGGGATGGTCGGTTCAGTCAGGGCCTCGGTTGCTGTGGCCAGTGTCGCCTCAGCAGCTTTTGAAGCCACTTGCTGCGTGCCTTCGTCGCGCTTGCGGATGTGTGGATCGAGAGAGGAGCCCCTAAATCACAAGCAAAAAGCTTAAGTACTCTCCAGTAGGGGGTCTCCACAAAGAACACATTCCGGATGTCTCTTCTCAAACCCTGTCGCATCACAATTCTACGACGAGCATGTACCAGTACCTTTCCTGCCGCAGCCTGTTTCTGTCCACCATGTCCACTCCTGATACTACCCCGCTTGTAGCGTCACTCCACGTGAAATGCTGACTGGGCTGCGGGCTGAACACTTCTTCTAGTCGATCCCGCTCTGCCTCATCTCAAGGTGCACGACTGAACTCGTGATGGCGAAAAAAGAGTGGCACAATTGCAGGCAGACGTGGAGATAAGGTGGCCGAGGGCTTGAAGTTCAGCTTACAGTTCGCGCATCAATCCACGGCATGCAAGCAGTTGAGGGAGTTTAAGTACACAGCCCACGATGCCTTCTGGACTCCGGATCAAAGACTCTGATGAGCCCTATCGGTAGCAGCGGTCTCTCTTCTTTGCAGCGGGCTTGGTCAAAACCTCCGTCCCAAGGGTGCGCGCCATCTTTGGGTGTTTTACTGTCTCTCAGTCCCTTATCCGCTCTCTCCCTCTCTCCCGGGCTTTGGAGGCTTTTCAGGCCTCCTTGGCTTCAAGCCCACCCGATCGCTCACGGGCGTCGTGGGGAGGTGTGAAAGCAAGCAAGTATTCCCCCGTTGTGGAACAAACTAGGTTAGCCAACTATGAGTGTTTCCTTACACCAGGAGGCAAGTGCGGAGGCATGCGCCCGTGTTCGAGGTCGTCGTGATTTAGGCTTCGTGTGCCTTGGATGGTGGCTCAGAGTTTGCTTCAACCATCGAGGACCTCATCGCGCTGACCATTTCTTGGACTTGCCGCGTAGTCGATGATGGATGTGCGCGCAACCGCTATGTGCGTCGTGTATCCTGAGATAAGGGTTCAGGGCATCGAGCCCGCCCGATTGATTGTGGACCTGCCTGTGTCCCTGTCTGTCTTCCTCCGGGCATGAGGGGTTGGTTAGACCCCCCGGCCACTAGGGCCCCCCCCAGTCTCTCTCTCTCTCTCTCTCCGGGCCTGCTCTCTCTCTCTCTCTCTCTCTCTCTCTCTCTCTCTCTCTCTCTCTCTATGTGGGTGTATATATATATATATGTATGTACGTACGTATGTACGTGTAAATATAAATACATAATATATATACATACAAATATATATATATATACACACACACACACATATAAATCTTGTATCATACACACACCGAAATCACAGAAAAGATCCACTCGCAACCCTGATGACAGAGCTCCTGGGCCGAACGCCGAACCACGGCTTCAGGCTTCGCTTGCAGGCATCGATGCATTCAACGTTGCATTGCCGCAGAAACTTGTTTCTAGATTTTTGCTGACCAACACCACAATCACATGCAATCACAAACACTGCCGACCACAGCCCTCGCCTTCAGCTTGGCTAACTGCGAAGAGTCCTTTCTTTGCGACAAAAGAAGGGAACTCTGGGCGGCCGCTGGCACAAAGCGGAAAGCATCGAGGGATGTGCCGTTTATGTGTCCAAGCAAGGTCAACGGTCTCCTTCAAGGCAGCGGCCACAGCCGGCTCCATGGAGAAGTCGAGAAAATGGCGGCTGCATTGCCGGCGGATCGTTTAGAAGTTGTGACTGTCGGATTGGACTCTCACTCGTCGGCATGACCATGCCCTCTCCAACTGAAAAACAACATAACACAAAAAGTTGTGATCCTCGCATCATCGGCGAGGTAGCTTTGTCTTCACACTTCTGTCTTGATAGGAAGCTCGCGTGGATGCTTGCTTGTAAGCGGGAAGAAGTCAACTCTGCGTAACACAGACGCGTTGGAGGAGTCCAGCACAACAATCACTCACAGCCTACCGTCATGTCGGCTTTCTCGAACTACAGGTGCTTTGGAGGAGTCTGAGTGAGTAGTCAATTCCTCGTGGCAAGCTCATATCACAGCATGCACCTGTTGGGGCAACAGGCAGGTCTGCCCTTTTTTCGCTACAGCATCCTTCCACGGCAACATGCCGAAGCCACAGCGGCGGCTGCCTCACTTGCAGAAACTTCTCTGAATGCACCGACGTTTGGTTGTGAAGGCCTGTGAGTTACTGACGAGGCAAGATAACCGTGTCATAGGGGTGACTGCGATCAACACCTGCAACATGCATGCTGCCCAACCCAACGGCCAGTGGCGGCCAGTGGCATGTCTAGGCTTCTCACTGCCAGAATCCACGGAGGTTGCCGACTCTTGCTTGTAAGCGCCTGTGCAAGCTCGCACTCTGTCGAACTCTTACTCCTGGGTTCGGTGTTCGTGGTGCGTTCGGGATGCAATGCTGTTTGAACAGTAAGTTTTGTTGAGCAGCAGACACAAAATGATGCTCGCGTTCGTCATCTCTCTGCTCCTTGGACCGTGCATTTGTCGCTGATGCAGTTCCTCTTCTCATCATCCAAATCCAAAGTGTCGGAAGGCTTCACCGCGAGACAGGCAGTGGACATTACATCGGAAGCTGATCCGCTCCGACTTCACGTCCGAGTGTCGTGGGGCACCGACTGCGTGGCTTGCAGGACTGAGTGGATACAGGCTTCAGATATCTGCCGTCTTCCTGGGTAGCAGTAATACCGCATGCAGCCAATGCGTCCTGGCCTGAAACACTTCATCCGTCAATGGCACGGCTGGCAGTTGGAGGGATTGGCGGAAACCTAGCCACTGCCACGTGAAGCTGACAAGTGTCCGTGCACTACTCACTTACTTGGTAGTTGATTGGCAACAATCACAAGTGATTCTAATCGCGGCAACAATAGCAATACACCAATGGAATCGTCGTGCCAACAATTTTAAGAATAAGAGTAGTAATAATAGTGATAGTAATAACAGTAGTGGCAATAACATTAAAAATCGCAATCATAGTATGAATGGCAATCATATCTAGTAATAATCGTCATAATCGTCATAATACGTAGACTTGGTTAATGGGAATCGTAGTGATTATAGGCAAAACAAATCTCAATAATGAATCTGTATATCCTTGTGATAGACAGATTCCTGAGACCTGAGTCGGATTGCAAGGTTTCCGCGCAGTGAGGGAGCCTCGCCCACTTCGCCTTTCAAAGGGGTAGCTCTCCAAATTAGGGAGGCGGCACCCTTGCAGAAACGGACCCTAATCTAGAGAACTACCCACATGCATTCGCTGGTCTATGCCTGGAGTCCACCATCTTCCAGATATTTTCCGGTGTCGCGAGGGGTGCTATGCTGAGGTGGCTGAGGAGAAGGAGATGTTTGATAGAGTGGCGACTACATAGTTTGGCCCTGTCAAGTATGACTGTCATCCCTTCATGATGTGCAATTCCATATGGTTGTTCTGCCAACCACAGATTACAAAGCATGCATCGCGATCGGACGCTCTGAATCTGAGGTCTGAGCCGACAAAGAAGCCCGGGATCAGCAAGGTCGTAACCTACCGACTCCAAACGACAGCTGAGCGATTCTGCTACTTGTGACATGCAAAGGTACGCTGATGATGCTTGTGCTGATGCAGCTGTGAGAAAGGATACCAGGATAACATTTCGGGGGCAATGATGTTGATGATTATGGTCATGATAGTGACCTTCTGGCGATGATGAAAACGTCGACGATGGTTACCACAGCGATCCCCACAACGATCCTCAAGGCGACACTTGACACCAATCTACTCACCCTATGTCTGGTCTTGCTATTTGTGCTGCTTGTGATGCTGATTTCCCTCTTTGATGACTCTCATTGTCGCGTCCAGCTTTCTGGTGTCCGCAATTCAGGATCAGGACGAGCAGACCTGACATGTGTTAGCGCTCAAACTAGCTTGGCCAAAATGTGGATACACGGCAAAGCTGTGCTCTCTACACTCGCACCGACTCGCACACTTTTGAATGGAACTCCTCGGCAGGCGTCGTGTCACGCGTCTCCCGCGCAGCAGCCTTTGAAAAAGTGGCGCTGGCGAGAGGCGTGCACATCCATCGATTGGGCGGCGTGGGTGGGTGTGAAGAGAATCTCGTAGCTAAGCAATGGCTCCTGTCCTGTGAGCCGTGCTTAGCTGCAGCATTCCGCTCAACTTCATGTCACTACGTACACTTCGTGCACTTCACGACATGTGTTAGCGCTCAAACTAGCTTGGCCAAAATGTGGATACACGGCAAAGCTGTGCTCTCTACACTCGCACCGACTCGCACACTTTTGAATGGAACTCCTCGGCAGGCGTCGTGTCACGCGTCTCCCGCGCAGCAGCCTTTGAAAAAGTGGCGCTGGCGAGAGGCGTGCACATCCACCATAGGTGCGACGCCTGCGCCCATACATCGCACCGTCGGGCCCTCGAACATGCCCAAGAAACACATGCAACATCCTGCCTCAGAGGTTCACATGATCAGGGAGCTGGAGTGTTGCTTGAAGAACTTCATGCAAAAGCTGGTCGTAGTCGTGCTCCCACCAGCTCCAGCCTTCAGCATAGGCGTGGCTGAACGAGAAGCGGCTGACTTGATCGCTGACATTGGCAGAGCTAGACACACGCTGCCACTCCGGCCACCAGTTCTGTTCCTCGACGAACGTCCAGATGACCTGCAAGAGCCTGTTCACGGAATCGTCCTTGCCGTAGCCCTTCAGCAGCGCGTGTTTTGCTGGCTCGTTGTCTACGAAGAGGAGCGTGTGCTTCGGGAGTTCGTTCCGTAGGGCGAGAAGAGGGATCATCTGAGCTACGATCTCTAACATGTAGATGTACGCTCGCTTGGACACAAAATGCCTCGTGAACCACATTGGAATCTTCCCTGCCGCGAACACTGTTCTCCCATCAAGGCGTGCCACAAAGCCCCAACCGTTCGCGAAGCTCGCAGGCGAGGTCTGGCCCCAATTGGGCACATTGTCCCAGTCCGAAGCTCGCCATCGCCGGCCACCGAGCTCGAAGAAAGCGTCTGCGTACACCACAGCTCTGGACTGGACGTGGTACTCAATGATTCGAGGCCTCCCGCATTGGAGGCGGCGCCGCAACCAGTGGATGGACGACTCCAGAGCTTTGTTGAGGGCCCAACCCTTGCACGTCGATCTGAACTGAGCTGCCTGCGCCCGCTGGTGAAAAGGTCGAAGAGCTGCCGCGCCTGCACGACCAAACAGTGATTGCGCCACGAACTGCAACTTCCCGGCCAAAGATGCTGCTTCATGCGGCAGCAACCGCTTCTCCAAGAGGATCGTTTTAAGCTGTGCATCTAGTCGCGCAATTCTGCCGGCCGTAGGCCGAATCTCGGCCTGGTCCTGCTGCAAACTCAGTGACACACCTTGGATGACCTGGTTCTGATCAGGCGGCTGCTTCTTTGATGTTTTAAAACGCAGGCCAAGGCAAGCACAAGTGCTCTGCACGCTCTCAAACCCAGACACGGCCACGTCCATGGTCTCCGACGCGCCAAAATCATCCACGAAATGCAAGGTGGGCGACAGCAGCAGGCAACGCGTCAACCATGTCATGAAGTCCGCAACCCGACAGTAGCTCCACACGCTGGCTGTGCTTCCAAAGAGCAACACATTGTGCTTCCACAAGGTGGGTCCAGAAGGTGTCTGAAGGATCACGAAAGTGTGCGCGGGCTCCTTGGCGGGCAGCTGTCGGTAAGCGGCCGGCCCCACGTCTGCAACACAGCACTCTCCTCCACACTGCGAAGTCCTCTTGCAACCTGAGCAAAGGCAGAAATGTCATGGTACGCTGGACTATCCCACGCTCCCACAGTTGCATTGGCCCCAGATCGCCGCCAGTCCTCAGCCCTTCTTACTTTCGGCTGGCCATCGGACCCAACCTGGTGCACTGCAAAGGCAAACGAACAAGGCACCGGTCCCTCGGGCGCTGGCAGGAGTTCGGCAGTGTGAGCAAACAACGCAAGCGGGACCGTCTTCTTTGACCAGTGCGCAGGCGCTGCAAAGGGCCCTTCCATCCTGCCTAACTTCACGTCCTTGGCGATTTCCTCCGCCATGGTTTTCCACTCTGGGTCGACTTTGCACTTCTGAAGCTTGTCTCGCACAAACTTGTCATTCTCGCGGAAGAACTGGTCGACCGGCATGGGATGAGAGTACCGGTCGTCGCTGCGAAGCCGCCAGCCCACACCCGGTCTAATGCGGCCAAGAAGCGGGAACCCCTCTGACATCTCTCTGAACATGTCCATGTCGGGCCAACCGAGCTCGTTGGCCAATGCCTGCAGCACCGGGAGCTGCATAGCAATGCGCCCGTCTTCAGTCGTGTACGCCTTCTGCACATGCGGCGCCAATCCCTGGAACCACAGTCGCGTTTCCTCCTCCGCCTCCTCGACTCGCAGCTGAACGGCCTCTTGAACTGCGATTCGCAACTCCCGGAGTTGCGATCGCCACTGCTGCCACATGGGGAGCCACTGCCGAAGGCCCGGCTCCAAACGAGGCGCTAGCTGATGTGAATGCTTTACGATCTTCGACGCCTCCCAATGCTCTGCTGGGTCAGTGATCTGAGACAAGTCCAACACTTCGTCAAAGACAGGAACTCCAGGGCCATTCAAGAGCGGGGCCGCTCGCCACAGTGTTGCCATTCCAGCGACTGCATCCGGCCCAAGCGGATTTGGACCCCTCGTCGGTGAAGGTGACGTCAACGCTGTCAAAGCTCTACTTGCAGAGGAAGTGTGAACACGCGCAGCAAACAAGCTCAAGATGAAGAACCACTTGGCTACTCCAACATGCCAACCGTTCGCCAAAGCACGATGACGCTGATGGTCCGACAAAGCCCTTGTCCACCCCTTCGGGAGGTGGTGACATTGTTCCTTGATGTCGGCTGTTGCAAGCACGTAGCGCCCACGACAGTCTCGCCACATGTTGCCCTTCTCGTAGTGCCACGGCGCGTATTGTCTGTTGTCCTCCAACCACCGAGTCTGCGTATCTGTATCCACCCGGCCTTTGCAGGACCTGGGGGCTTTGCGACCTGCAGGGTCGTCCGCCGGCGTTGTCAAACACGGTAGAACTTTGACGCCCTCCACGATGTTGCTTGGCCAACTCAGCTCGCCCACGTCATAGTCCTCACACTTGTCTTTGGGCTGCACAAAAGTGATTCTGGGGAGGCTCTGGTAGACGGTCCACTGCAGAGGAACTGGGCAATCCGATTGATTCGATAGTTCCTGCCAAGGGATGCGAGTCCACCACACTCGCGGTCTTGCGATGATGCCCAAGTCAGCAGCATCTGAGACCACTGCTGGCGCTGAGAGCTGTTGTTCGAGCAAGCGCACGTCCTGCTTGCTGGCGGGCACGATCTCGACGACGAGCAAGGCTTGCGGATAGTCCCAAGTCTTTTCCAGCTCCTTCACGAACTCGGCGAAGCGAAGGAACTTTGACCCTTCTTCTCCTTCGGTGCCAGGAGCCATCGCGCGAATCCGACTATGATCATGGCAAGGAGGACCATGCAGCTGCTATTATCACAGTCGCCGCAGAACTGGGGTCGATGGCTTTTAGCCGGTCAATCAAGCGACGGGGGGTGTCCCTCTCGAAGTCACCGCGGTGCTCTACGTCGGGAAAGTGTTGCTTGGAGATCGCCGCCAAGTCCTCATCTTTTTCCCACGCAATCGCATACCAACTCTGGCCTGTCCCATGAAAAATTTGGTCGCATATGATCAAAGCCGACCCGATGCCGTCGAAAAAGCTGAGCAAGATCACCTGCGGGTAGCTCTCCGTGGAGGAGCTCGTCGCTGCCGGCCTCTTTCGTTTCAAACACGGTCGCCTGTCCCCGAGCATCTCTGCGCGCACGAAGTCCGGGTTTGGTGTCAAACGAATGCGGCCGGGTCCACCCGAGTCAGGTGGCCCGCGCTGTCCCTACTCCTTGCGAATGTCTTTCTCCCAAGCGCCGAACTTGTCATGCTCGCTGTCACGTTGCCAAGCCGCCTGCGACCAAGATGGCGAAGAGGCCCATTGTCGGGTTGAGTCATTATAACTGTACGGGCGCCAGCGGTAGTCGCTGTACCACTGGCCCCCGCCCTTCTTTCCTTTTCCCTTGCCCTTCTTGCCTTCCGTCTTGTAGACGAAGCTCTTCTCCTGGTACTCAAACTTCCGGTGCTTTGTCGGGGTCTTGTCTGGCACGATCTCCCTGTTGAGGGCTTCCTGCAAAGATTGCGTGTCCGTCATGATGTCGCTGGCCGCCTGTTCGAACGTCGTCTTGGACCGAAGTGCCAGAGCCATACGCCACGGAGATGACTCCCAGTGCGACTTGAGCTGCTCGATTCGCTGCGGGCGTGACCGAGCCTGTTTGCCAAACCAGCTGATGTACTCGCAGATGTCCTTCTCGGGCCCCAACTCGATCAGGATCATCGCGTACTTGATGGCCTCCAAGCAGTCCAGGAAGGCGAGGACGGATTTGGGCTGCCAGGGCGTGTCGGTCTCCGCCTCGAGCTGGTTTTCGGCATTCAGCGCGAGGACCGTGCTCGTCTTATTCTTTTTGCGGTC